GGTTTGAATTTGTTATCTGGCACTTTTCAATTACTGCACTTTATATTTTAGCATTGAGTTCCCGCTGTTTTTCTCATTTCCAATTTATTTATCAAACCTGTTTCATCAAAAATCCTGATCTTTAAGTAAATGCACTTTAAAAAACACTTAAGCTTGTCATTATTGTCATCATATACGCCATTTTGCAGTAAATTTTGTAGTATCTCGATATCGATGTTGGTTTCGTTAGCGCAAAATAGCTGGTAGTCCGCTATTTCCCTTTCATATTGCGCAATTACATATGAAAAGCTCTCCTGCAATGGAATATTTTTATTTGTATCGTTACCTCTTGTGAAAGAATACCAGTTGAGGAAAGTATGACGTAGAGTACAATATACAGCATTTGGTAACGGTTATTGTGGAAAAATTTCACGAAAATATCAGTGTGTCCACTCATGTTTTGCATTTTATATGAACTTGGATTAATTCTTCAAGCAGCGAAAAATAAAAAGGCTATTCAATTCATGTTCGTATTCCCACATGTCATGCCAACATTTAAAACAAATATACTCAACATTATTGCAATTTTTGTCCGGCATACAATTTAGAAAACTCAAAAATAATATTCTGCAAACATTATACGATGAACAGCATTGGCGATCCCACGAAGTTACTTAGCACCTACGTAATTGTAGTTTACGTTAAGTATAATAAGAAATGGTGGAACATATAAACAGGAATGAGTTATTGAGGCATATATCTCCTATTTATAGATGAGAAACTTGAAATGGTATCATTGTAGCTGAATTTCCCATTGGGTAATAATTACATTCAATTCAATTCAATATATTTGAAATATTGCAGCTTATGCTTACAAATATAATTTAAATTTAATTTATAATTATAAAATTAATTAAACGTGACAAATAATAAACATAACACTCATGCACTGTATATTAAGGGCTACAGCCCCCTCCCTCCCTCCCTCCCCCAAGATTAAAGTCATCCTTTCTACAGAAAAAGTAATGGCAACTACCTATTTCCTCGCACTCTCGTAACGGGAGAGTATGATGCGAACGTAATGCATCGCCTTAGAGACGTGGAAAACTGACACAAGGTGTCTTGTGGCATCAGTGACAATGCACCAATGCACAAGGCCAGACTTTCAAAAGCTGCTGTAGCTGATTGTGGCTTCGACGACACTGAACATCTGTCTTATTGTCCAGATCTAGCACCCAGTGACTATTTTTTTTTTCGAATCTCAAAAAAACACTATAGTATATTTCATAATGAGTGTCGAAAGTGACTGATATCATGCAGGTGCCGTTAGACAAACGAGGCGCTCCGGTGACGTCGTTTTGAGTCAATTGAGGAGATAAAAGCCGAATCGAAGAAGGGTTGAAGGCCATTTCGGAAAATGACTATTGACTATTTGGGGGAGTATTCGAGGACTGAAAAAAACGATGGCGTAAATGCACTTCATCGAAGGAGGTGTACTTTAAAGGCAATGTAATATATTTTGAAGAATAAACAAAGGTGTTTCATTTTATAACGCAATTCCGGGAATTTTTTGGACACATAAAAAATACAGACATTTGCGACACTGCAGCCATCGATAGATACAAATAATCACACGAACCAAACACTCACATCCCTTCAAAAAGAATTTGACAATGCATTGTTAGAATTCTCAAACACTGACCCAACACAAAGACCACGAATACCTAAACAAAGTCACACTACAAAATTACGCACACTTTCACAAACATTAAATGACCACATTTTACCAAATTACATTAACGATAACACAAGCTTACATCAACTACACTTTGTTGTGTATTGCGGTGCGGTTGCAGTTTCTAGATGTAACGGTGCAAGAATAACAATAAACAAACAACAGCACACAACAAAAAAACGCTCACCCCCGGCATGGGAAAAACGCCTGATAACTCGCATCGATGACATCAGACGTGACTTAGGTCGGATTACACAATACATACAAGGAACTCGTTCTTCAAAACTAACACGACAAGTACAACACATAACTACAAAACTAAACAATCACACCACACGAGAACAAAATACAAACTATAACGAACATAGAGATACACTGACACAAAAACTATCAATATACACAAACCGTTTAAAACGCTATAGGGAAACTGCAGATAGAAAGCGCCATAACACACAATTTAAACATAACGAAAAACTATTTTACAGATCACTAACACAAAACAGCACTAATGAAAAACTCATTCCACCATCTCTACACTCACTCCAACAATACTGGTCTGACTTATGGACCAAAGACATTAAACACAATCCACACGCCCCGTGGATTACCACAGAAACCACACGCACTGAATACATTACCCCTATGAATAACACAAACATCACTACAACACACATCATTCAAACTATTAATCACTTACATAACTGGAAAAGTCCAGGCATTGATAACATTCACAACTTTTGGTGGAAATCTTTTACCTACACTCACTCTTACCTTGCACAACAATTTACTGAACTTCTTAATTCACCAGATCGCACTCCTGCATTCTTTACACAAGGTATCACTTATATGATCCCAAAAGACAACAATACACAAGACCCATCTAAATATAGACCAATTACATGCCTTCCTACAATATACAAAATCCTTACATCATGCATTACAAACAAAATATACCAACACTGTACTGATAACAACATTCTATACGAAGAACAAAAAGGGTGTACCAAGTATTCCAGAGGCTGTAAAGAGCAACTCATTATAGACTCTGTTATACTTGAACAATCCAGACATAACAAACGAAACCAAAAGCCGTTGCATGGACGATTTCCACAAGAGGTTAGTCAGGATTGTGTTGATTCTATAGCAACGCACACTTGGTTGTCTGAATGTGATATCTTCCCGGAAACGGAGGGTTTCATGTTAGCAATACAAGACCAGGTCATTAATACACGCAACTATAAAAAACACATACATAAAGACAAAACAGTGACAACCGATTCTTGTCGACTCTGTTCACAAACATCAGAAACAATCCAACATATAATATCGGCATGCACACGACTTGCACAAACTGAATACAAACATCGACACGATCAGGTAGCTAAAATCATACATCAAAAATTAGCACTTAAACACAATCTCATAACAAATACGACACCATACTACAAATACACGCCACAGATCATACTTGAAAACAACACACACAAATTATATTGGGACAGGACACTACTCACAGACAAAACTATCCAAAATAATAGACCAGATATTACACTTATAGATAAAACACAAAAATCCATTTGTATTATAGACATTGCCATACCCAACACTAACAACTTAACTAAAACACATGCAAAAAAACACCGCAAATACACCGATATAGCTATCGAGCTTAAGACGCAATGGAGAATGAAATCTACTGTTATAGTTCCCATTATTCTTAGTGCTACTGGAGTTATACCAAAGACAAAACACCACAATTTACAACTATTAGGTTTAGACAAAAACACATACAAACATTTACAAAAAGCAGTCATTATCAACACATGCCATATTGTTCGTAAATTTCTAAACATAACACAAGATACTACATACAGAAATGATCCACAACGTATACATGTAAACAACAGCACTCCCTCACAACACGGTACACAACATACTGTAATATCTCCACCTCTAACCCAAACAAGCACACAAATACAACTTACCGAACAAACAAGTACAACAAATGATACAACATATACTACAATCAGAGATTCACCTCTGAAGCAAACCACATTATCACGACCCATTAGTATTCAACCCAAACGCAAAAGCCTAAACAGCACTTTAGACTCACAACATGACACACAACATACTGTAATATCTCCACTCTTAACTCAACCAACCACACAAACACAACTTCCTGAACAAACAAACGCAATAAATACAAGTAACGCAACATGTACTACAAAGACGCCCTCACCCAATAAAGTTACACGGCCTAGCACAGCTAAAAAACACAATACTCTTTCTTCCCAGAAACACACCACGTTATCACAACCCACTCGTATTCAACCCAAACGCAAAAACCTTAACAGCACTACTGGCTCACAAAATACTGTAATGCCTCCACCAATAACCCAAGCAACCACACAAATACAACTTCAAGAACAAAGAAACACAATAAATACAAGTAACGCAACATGCACTACAAAGACAGATCCACCCAATAAAGTTACTAGCACAGCTAAAAAACACAATACTCTTTCTTCTCAGAAACACACCACGTTATCACAACCCACTCGTACTCAACCCAAACGCAGCAACCTTAACAGCACTAGAGGTTCACAAAATACCGTAATGTCTCCACCAATAATCCAAGCAACAACACAAATACAACATCTAGAACAAAGAAACACCATAAATACAAGTAACGCAACATGCACTACAAAGACAGATCCACCCAATAAAGTTACTAGCACAGTTAAAAAACGCAATACTCCTTCTTCTCAGAAACAACCCACTCGTATACAACCGAAGCGCAAAAACCTTAACAGCACCACAGGCTTACAAAATACTGCAATATCTCCACCAAAAACCCAAGCAACCACACAAATACAACCTCAAGAACAAAGAAACACCATAAATGCAAGTAACGCAACTTGCACTACAAAGACAGGTCCACCCAATAAAGTTACACGTCCTAGCACAGTTAAAAAACACAAAACTCTTTCTTCACAGAAACACACCACGTTATCACAACCCACTCGTATTCAACCCAAACGCAAAGCCAAAGAAACACTTACACAATAAACTCTATTTAATAAAAGTACAGGAATTATTATAATGATATTTTTGTTTTGTTTTCTCCTTTCCTAATAGCGTTGACTATTGTGGCCATTAATAGCTATGTTGGTAAGTATGAATTACATACTATCTCTAGATTTCCAATGTGAGTGTGTGAATTTTTATTTTTATTATATTTAAGGTAAAGCGAGGAGAGTTTGCGCACAATTCGAAAAAAATTTATAACAATTAAGATTTTTGTAAAATTTACCAAATAGCTAATGTAATATAATCTTTGCTATGTTGCGCTTACACAATTCACTATTAAAACTTTTGAACTTTCTTTTTTTCGGAACAACAAAATTTTGAAAAAAGAATGATTTTTCGCCATCTCTCCTAACCAGGTAGGTTAGTTTGCGCATGATGTGAGGAGAGACTGCGCGTGTGCAGAAATTTGAGTTTTTGTGCTTAAAATAAATTTTGTTGACATTTTTTAAACAGAATAAGTACAATGGTTACATACTTATACTTAACTATAATTATTGAATACACTAAAATACTATCTTCATAATAACGAACTAAAATTACTAACTCAAACAAAACTTTAAATTTAAAACAAAAGGTTAATCACTTCTTTAAGTTCTTTTGTCGGATTTCTTTCCGGCCACAGTAATAGCACTTGTTGACATACATTGTGCAGGACTCGTGCAACCATCTACTGCATGACATGCATTTTATCCAGTCCGATTTCGAAGTTGTTTGTGCATAAATCTCCAAGCACTCAACACATGCTTCGTCCTCGGATTCAATGGCAGTATCTGATAGAAGTTCCATTAGGTCACTTTCTTCACCAGACGAGGTTGATGGAGGAGAATCACGTTTTAACCTTTTTTTACCTTTTGGTATTTTTTGGATCTTCGACGTCGCAACTTGTTTCTTTCTTTCTTGATCCTCTTTCTTTTTTAACGTTTCTTGAATTTTTTTTTGTTTGCTAGAAATGTATTCAGGAGAAGTACATTTGTTGCACTTATCTTTCTTTTCACTTTCGATTGCCCCAAACTGGCAGGGATAGGTGATATTGTTGCTAAAGCTTTGTTTGGTGTTATTTTAGATTTCGGTGAAGTCGCCATTTTACTTTGAGGTGAAGTCTTGGAGAATGGTTGCGAGTTTCCTTTTGAAGTTTTTACAGGGGAACGGGCTTTAGAAGTTGAAGGTTGGGAGTTAACTTCATCTAGGAATGACACTTCTGATGAAATTGCGCTTGGGGGAGTGACTGGAGTTTGATCAGTTGCAGATATGGGATCGGGTGTTCCGATTCCTGGTGTGACAGGAGCATCTTGATCACACGACAACAAATATGCATGTTCAGGAATAGCATCCATATTTAAAGGATAGATACCTGTTGCTCGAAACGAAGAAGTGGCGAGTTGCACAGTAGCAGAACGAGACCAAGCTGAATTTAAAAGTTCTCCGAAGTCGTCTCTTGTAATTTTCCCCGTACCACGACGAGTAGAAACCATCTTTGCACATGCGTCTTTGAAATAGGTTTTGAAAGGTTTGAATACAACCCGGTCTAAAGGTTGCAAATAGTGCGTGGTGTGACTCGGTAAACAAACGATGATAATATCGTTGTCTGAGGCGATTTGAAGCATATCTGCGCTATTCATATGCGAAGCATGGCCATCAAGTACCAGTAGATTTTTACCTGTCGGTTTTCGGGGAATGAAATGTTGCGTCATCCAATCCATAAATAGTTCAGTGGTAATATAAGCGCTTTTTTTGTTCATTTTAATTACTGTTCCAGGTGGTGCGCTCTTCAAATGTTGGGATTTTGCGTAGACTCCGTTAAAAATACAGTAAGGGGGTAAAAATTGCCCTTCTGCACTGCAGCAAGCTAGAACGGTAATTGTTTCACCCTTTTCCGCGCTCGTGACAACATGAACATCCTTGCTACCTTTAGCTGCAATAACCTTACCAGGTTCGTTATTTAGCTGAACTCCAATTTCGTCACAATTCCATATGCAAGCTGGTTTGTCTAAAAGATCATTCTCGGTTAGAATATCAGTCAAAAGAGTGAAATAATTTTTTATTTCAGCGCGATTCATTCCTTCTGTCCTGGCTTTGCTTATTCCTTGAGCTTTTCGGACACTTAACTCAGGATGTCGTCGCATAAAAGATGAAAACCAAACTTTTCCTGCTGTCTTCGTTTCCGTATTGAAAGTGTGTTTCTTATTCAACGATGTTGCTAAATTGAACGCCAGGTGTCTTACATCTCGTTGTGTTGGTGCGAATCCAACGGCCTGAAGTTTTTTTATGTGCAGAGACAATTTGTTTTCGGCATCAATGCCTAGTTGTGCCTCTGGGCCCATCCCTTTCTTTTCAAAAGAATTCTTTTTTAACCTATTTCTTAAGGTGGACTCGGGAATTTTGAACTGTTTGCCTGCTGACCGTATGGATAACCCATTTTCGATGACCCCGATAGCTTGTTGTAGATCCTCCTGTGACCAGGACCCTTTACTTGACTTCCGTACATAAACGTTTGGCATTTTGATCTAGTTAGAAGAAAAAGAACATCATATTAGCCTCCTAATAAGTAAAATGAGTCGCGCAAACTCTCCTCTCACTGTATTAAATATATAGCACGCGCAATCTCTCCTAATTTGAAATGAGCAAACTCTCCTAATTCGGTAGGAGAGATTGCGCGGCCACGTGATAGGCCAAAAATGTTTGACATTAACTTGAAACCTCATGACACGCTAGTATACATATAGAGCTTGTGCAGAAATTACCTGGTTAGCAATTCTCTTCCACAAAATTATGTCCTAGGAAAATCTAAGCAATTGGTCTGAAAATTCACGCACTTAACCTTCACACCTTCCACAGCTCAGAGTCCATAATAAACAACCACTTGCTTCGTTCGGCGCACGAATTCAAATGGCGTGTATGTAGAGAATGCGCATTCGCTACCTTAGGACATAGGGTCGATTTTCCTTTTCTTTCTTCACTGTTTGACATCCGCGCAATCACTCCTACCGCGCAAACTCTCCTCGCTTTACCTTATTTTATTTTTTTAGGACCCTACATAACTTCACCAGACACAGACACAGACACTAATCGTTACTTGATTTTAATCCGTGCGATTAGTTAACCAGGCTAGACCTGAGTTCTCACAAGATACACCGACAATAATAATAATAT